CATTACCTACTTTTATTTGATTTTTAAAATAAATTGTCTTGCTTTAATGGCGAATTGTTATTTTCTAAGAAGTTTTGAATCTGTATTGGTATATCTTCAAAGCTAAGACAGATCTTTCTAGCAAAATAAAATAAAACTCTAAGCGCTATGTTATGAAATAATAAGAATATAATAACATCGTCATAAAGATTGACATTCGATTCTCACGATTACTATTCAACAAAGATTGTGGGTTGTGTAATTACAGTAACTTCGCAGTGTTTTTTTTATATGAAAGGGCAGGATTCTTTTCAGTAGATGTCTGTGACATGTCGACGATAAATTTCAACAGTAAACAAACAGCACATAGCACACAGTCCACTTGTTCGTTACACAGTTAATCACCATAGTTGTATCCAGAAATGAAAAGCGGTAATCATTTTAACAACGGTAGCTTGCAATAGATGGGGCTATCTGTCAGGTCAACCAGAACTCTGCTAAGAATATGTTAAATTGTAAGAAAAAAAAACCACAAACTTTGAGTTTAAAATTACTTTAATACTGATCGCATCAATTGTGGTTTGAATTTCGCGCAAGGCTACGCAAGGGTTATCTGCGCTAGCCGTTCTTAATTGAGGAGTAAAAAACTAGAATGAAGGTATCTAGCCATCACCGCCAACTCTTTAACCAACGAATAATGGAATTGACCGTCACATTATATCCTCCTCATGGCTTCAAGGACGAGCATGTTTGGTGGGAACGGGGATTCGAACTCGCGACCTTCAGATTACGAATCAAGCGCCTTAACCACCTGGCCAGGTCAGACCTTCAATTATCATCATATCATTTAAACAAAGCAAGGTATGAGCAAACTTTTACTTAAATCTGCATCAACACAAGAAACTGTTATATTTTTCCAAAAGTATGTGTATATTTTCTTGGAGTACTAGTATTTAGAAATGAAGCACAGGTGTCCTTTGAACGCAATGACCTTAGATAAAACTCTCCATTACCTTCCGATATTCACAATCTCAAATATCATATAGAATTATTGAAAATTATGACAGAAATAGCGTTTGTGGATGTTGTTGCAAGCAGTAAAAAAAAGAGTCAAATGATATAATGATTTTTAGAACCATGAATTATTGAAAATTATGACAGAAATAGTGTTTGTGGATGTTGTTTCAAGTAGTCAAAAAAGAGAGTCAAATGATATAATGATTTTTAGAACCATGAATGTTACACAGAAATAGAAAACTATGTAGTTCAAGTAATGGTTTCGGTAGCCACTTGACATAAGATTTTAAAAGTATTATATTTTTGAAAAGATTGTTTGTCTGAAGTTAAGCACAAAGCCACATAATAGATTATCTGCGCTTTACCCACCACGGGTATCGAAACCCGGTTTCTAGCAGAATGGATGGAATTGAATTTTTTAACCCAAATATATGTCCCTCTTAACAGTTCTAAGTGAGATTAAATCCTTTAATGCAAATGGCCGCCCCTCTCTAAATGAAAATAGTTTCATATTTCTTATGTCTATAACAATAAAATGAGGCTTGTATCAAGTTTATATATATATTTTTCTCATCTCGAACTGAGGTCAGGCACGTATAAGAAAATTCGGCCAATTTAGTATGTTTGTAGTTGCATACATTAGCAATCAGAAAAGCACAGATGTATTTATTGCACAGAAAATTAAAGATGACAAATTCATACTGCATTTAAAACAATAGTCTGTTAACCTTTCTTTCATTGACCTTGCCTTCTTTGTTATTGTTTTCTACCTTCAACTCTTCAACGACAATGAAAGAAGTAAAAACCAGTAAATGCATTTTTAGTACCCCTACTTCAAAATAAATCAAAGCCTACTGGCTAAGAAAAAGCAATAATAAAGAATCTTGGCAAAAAAGAAAGAACAAGAAACCATAGTGTAATCCAAAGAATAAAATAAATTAAAATCTACTGGCTAAAAAGAAATAATCAAAATATACTGACACACACACACAAAAATCAATCAAAATCTAGTGACCAAATAGACCATAGATAGATTAATAAACATACATTGATTAAAACCTTAACCGCTTGAAATGTCCTGGCTAAAAAAGACTAATCAGAGTTCTTTGGCTAAAAAAAATTGATTTAAAACGTCATTGGAAGTCTACTAGTGAAAACTGGCAGATCAAAGTATTGTGGAATACCTAAACTTGTATTGTACTTTTGTAATGTCTATGATTCATTTGCGTACGCGTAGTCCACTATTTTTTATTAAAACAGGAATGGGAACATTTCGCAAAAATATGATAGAATAGTTATAATATGATCATTTTCATATGTGTAAAATACGCACTCTAGTGATATTACATTAGGTAATTAAACTTCATCTACTAGCTTTTAGCTTATCTTAAAAACTCTGCTTCTACTTTTCAAAGTTCCAGTCGTAACTGTAGATTTTTTCAGTAAAATTATTGTTCTGTTAGAAGTCTATGTTTTTCGGAGGGTTTTGTATTTATTCAATAAA